CCCAAATGAGATGCCAGCATTGCAGGTGGTAGCTTTACCAACTATGCCACAATGCCAGCTCTGGGCTTTTTTATTATTACAAAGAAAAAAACTCCTTGCTATACTGAAAGAGAAAACTCCCATATAAAGTTGAATTGCTGAAAGATCATTTAGAATATTCATATCCTACTATATTTCAATAAAATAAAACCTTTTATCATTATCAAGAGCACTAACTAAAAATCCGTAATTCCATCTATGAGACACCATCAAAAGCACTGAAATTCAGAGGCAAAAAACATGCTTCCAACCTCAAGCCCATTACCTAATTAAAACAGAACATTTACTCAAAAAGAATAAAAAATACAAGAGAGCAATCAACATGCCAAGCATCAGTACACAGAATAATTTAGTAAAATGGACAGCTTTTAAACCCACAGATGTTGGTTTAAATTTTAAATTCACCATTTACTAGTTTCTGTAAATTATTTCCCTCATTTGTGTTGGATTAAGTAAAGTAAATTCCTGGCTTATAACAACATTCAAAGAAAATCTTTATATAATAATAATATTGTTATTACCAGGGATATAGGCAATAGAAGAAATCATCTTCAGTAGATGTCTAAAAAGAGAAAGCATGGGAGCCAGCATTGTGGCACACAGGTTAAGCTACCACCTGCTATGCTGGCATCCTATATGAATGCCAATTCAAATCCTTGCTAATGCACCTGGGAAAGCAGCAGAAGATGGTCCATGTGCTTGGGCCCCTGCCACCCACATGGGAACTCAGAAGAAGCTCCTGGCTTCACCTGGCCCAGCCCTGAATGTTGTGGCCATTTGGGGTGTGAAGCAGCAGATGGACAGTCTCTCTTGCCCTCGCTCTCTGTCTCTCCTTCTCTGTAACTCAGACTTTCAAATAAATTAATAAATCTTTGAAAAAAAAGAGAAAGTACCACAAATCCTTTTCATAATCTACCACCACAAGCAAAAATCAAGATTTTTTTTACTCATGTTTTATCTTTTTTCAAAAAGAAAATAGAATATATAGTAGAGACAACTGGAAATTATTTTTTTTGTGAGACGAGAGCACACGATACACACAGAGAAAGACGAACAAAACTCACATCCACTGATTGACTCCCCAGATGCCTGCAATGGCCCAAGATGGGCACAGCAGACAAGAACCCAATTACTTGAGCTATCATTGCTGCCTCCCAGGTTCTGCAATAGCAGAAAGACAAAGTCAGGCACAGAATCCAGGCACTCCAATGTGGGACGCAGGCACACCTGATCCATGGTTTAACCTCCAGAATAAACACCCACCCCAATAAGTGAAACCTGAAAACACTAATACAGTACAGCAATGATGTACACAGGTGTTTGTCACAACAGTTAGTCACCACTTGGGACACATACATCCCATATCATAGTGCCTGATTTGCTACTCGGCTTCAGATCTAGCTTCTCACTGATGTACACCCTGGAAGAAAGCAGACGATGGCTCAAGTACTTGGAGGATCAGCTGGCAGGACAGAAAAGAGGAAAGAAGGCATAAACTGAAACATGTTTCATATTTTCCCCATTTTGTTTATTTCATATATGCAAAATAATTACAAACCAGAAATCCCAGCAGTGCCCAGCAAATAACAGGTACTTGAAAAATATTTGTTGGGGCCAGTGCTGTGGTGCAGTAGGTAAAGCCACCGCCTGCAGTGCCAGCATCCCATATGAGTGCTGGTTCAAGTCCCAGCTTCTCCACCTCTGATCCAGCTCTCTGCTGTGGCCTGGGAAAGCAGTAGAAGGTGGCCCAGGTCCTTGGGCATCCACTTGGGAGACCTGAAAGAAACTCCTGGCTCCTGGCTTTGGATCAGCCCAGCTCCAGTCATTGCGGCCATTTGGGGAGTGAACCAGTGAACAGAAGACCTGTCTCGGGCCGGCGCCGCGGCTCACTAGGCTAATCCTCCGCCTAGCGGCGCCGGCACACCGGGTTCTAGTCCCGGTCGGGGCGCCGGATTCTGTCCCGGTTGCCCCTCTTCCAGGCCAGCCCTCTGCTGTGGCCAGGGAGTGCAGTGGAGGATGGCCCAGGTGCTTGGGCCCTGCACCCCATGGGAGACCAGGAAAAGCACCTGGCTCCTGGCTCCTGCCATCGGATCAGCGCGGTGCGCCGGCCGCAGCGCGCTGGCCGCGGCGGCCATTGGAGGGTGAACCAACGGCAAAAGGAAGACCTTTCTCTCGGTCTCTCTCTCTCACTGTCCACTCTGCCTGTCAAAAAAAAAAAAAGAAGACCTGTCTCTCTCTCTGCCTCTGCTTCTCTGTAACTCTTTCAAATAAATAAAATATTAAGAAAAATAAAGAAAAATATATGTTGAGACAAGTATTTAGCCTAGCAGTTAAGACACCTACATCCCGTATCAGTGTCCCTGGGTTCAATACCCAGCTCCAGCTCTTGACTCCAGCCTCTCACTAGTGTGGATCCTGGCCTCCCCATGATGATGACTTAAGTGGTTGCTCTCTGGGACCCAAAGTGGGAGACTCGGATTGGGTTCCTGGATCCCGCTTTGGTTCAGTCCAGCCCTGGCTGTTGTGGGCACTTGGGAGAATGAACCAGCAGGTGAGAGCTCTGCGTCTCTCAAGAAATAGTAAAAAGAAGATAATTTAAATATATATTTGTTGAATGAATTAACCTACTCCAAAGCCATCACTATCTCATGACCAGAGACAAAAACTAACTTCATTATCTGTTTAATCTTCCTAATTTTCAGTCACTCATACAATAGCTATATTAATGGCTTTCTTCCAGGTAGGCACTCAGATGAATTTTAAAATGTCCCTTCCCTGAAAGCTCTCTCACTTGAGTATGCCTATATCTAAGTATGTGAGTTGAAACAGAGGGTGATGTAAAACAAATCAATTATGAATGCAAAACGAGGTCACACTGATATCTCTGTTACTGAGTTCAAAAAAAAAAAGTTTAAAAAAAGCACTAAAATTAATTTAATTTTTTAAACTTAAAAACCATATATCTGCCAGCTTTGAAATAATGAGGCATATTGAGAAATAGTAACAAATTAGGTTCTTCTTTCCTTTGCTTCTATAATATACTGTCTTAGTATCTAAAAAATCAAAACATTCTAAATTGACATTTGAGTTATCAATGTCAGCCACCAATATATGTTCTCTCATTTGTAAAACCTTGAAGGGTAATTACTGATTCAGTATTTAGTCAGTGCACAAGTAAATACCTAAATATATAGCCACAAGAACATATGTGATTTATTTAAGTGACTATAAAAATGACAGAGCTTGAAGCAAACCCCTAGAGATGAACCACAGTAAACAGAAACTAAAAACACAGTATTACCCAGGGAGAGAATAAATGCACACAGCTGAGAAGCCACTTCACAGAAGTTGCTCAAAGAAGAAAATCTGCAAGAGGAGAAAAAGCCTTGCCAGAATTGGCCAACTCGGTCACAAAAAAAGCAGCTTGCCAACAAGGGATCTTGTTTAATGCAAGTCACTAACTAGACTCACAGAAAGTCAACACCCCAAGTCAGTGTTTCCAGGCCTCGAATTTGAGTTTCAGGAGGACCCTCCCAGAGATTCAAGATTAAACCACCACACTCCATGCTAAAGAAGTCTGCCCTGTTATCACCTGCAGAAACAGAATAACCAACATCTGATAGAAGTCGGCAATGAGTGTCACTTATGAGACCTAGAATTCCTGCAAGCTAAAGTTAGTTACTTCACACATTCACGTTTGACTGCAGGTTCTGGGGAGTGCTAAGGAGAACACCCCCAAGCCTCCGGAACCCAATACAGAAAACTTTACTGTCCAAATGTACCTTCACCCCAGTGTTAAAGCCTGTGATGCATAGACAAACCTAGGCCCAGGAGACTGCAAGATGGCAGGAAGGCTGGGGTGGGCCCTGCTGGCAAGCACACAGCTACCAGCTCTGGAGAGAACAGGCAGAGGTGAGATCCGGGCCAGTTTTGAACAGAGGAGCAGGAAGGGACTGACAGGTGTCTGTCACCTCGTCATTCTGGCCACAACAGGAAGATAATAATTGGCTTCCTTTACAGAGAGGGAGAAACTAGGTTCCCACGGTGAATGATGTTCAGATTTTCTGTGAAGCACAAGGACTGGGCTCCGAAGGCAGCAAGAAGGCAAGAGGAACGACCACAGTACAGGTTTTGGTGAAAATTTCCGCCCAGGACAAGTGATCTCCCAGGCAGGTCTGAGCACCCCGCCAGGCGGAACCACCACACCTGTTACTGGGTGGCTCCCTGTTATCCGCTCGGACAGCGATCAGGAGAACCCCCGGGTGTGAGTGGAAGCCGGCTTGGGTAGGGAACGACGGAGTCGGGGGTCTGACCCAGGACACCAGATCAGGAGGGAAGAGGCTGAATCCAGGAAGAGAGCGAGCAAAGCTGAGAGGGAGGCTAAGAAGAGTTTGAAAGCGAAGCCGAGTGCAGGAAAGTGCCAGGCAAAGGAGGGCTTTCGCTGAACTCCGGTGGGGAAAGGCAGGTTAGCGAGGGGAGCCTGCCCCTGAACAGGCTGAGCGTCCGGCCGCGGAAGGCCCCCCCCCCAACTCGGGGAGGCGCGCCGCCCGGCCCAGAGGGCGAGCCTCGTGCGACCCGGGGCTGGCGCTGCCCCGCGCGAGCTCCACAGGAGCTCACCTGGCCTGGGAGGAGGAAACTTTCCGGGTGGGGGAAAGCCGAGCGGAGCGAGCGAGGCCCGCGCCGGCTGAGCGCGGCTGGGGGCACCGTCCACTCAGCGGCCGCACCGGGTGGGGCCGGGGGCGCCGACCGACCCGGGGCGGGGCCGCGGCTGCAGCCGGCGGAGCTCCGGCTCGGGATGGCGTCCTCCCTCAGTCACACGCACGCTCTCGCTCTGACACACCGGCCGTCCGGCCCGAGAGCCGAGAGACGCTGCCCGGGTCGGCCCAGCGCAGGGCGGTGGGGGAGGGGGCCGGGGACACCGGCCGGCCGAGCCCGGAGGACAGGCGGGCGGGCGGCGTTACCTGTGTCAGGGAGAGCTGGGCTGCCGCAGCCATGGTGTTTCCATCATGCACGGGAGGGGAAGGAAGGACGGGCGGCCGGGGGCTCGGGGCGGGGAGGAGGCGGAGGGAGCGGCCGTAGGCGAGGCCCGGGCGGGCGTCTCCCCTAACTTCGACAACTTCCCTCCTCACGCCCGCCCCGCCCCGCCTGGCCCCGCCCGCCGGCCCGCCGGCCCGAGCAGGCCGCGGCGGCGCCCAAACCCTGGCGCTGGAGTGCGAGCCGCCGGACCAGAGCCGGCCTGCCCCCGGGCCGGCCTGAGAAAACCCGGCGCGGATAAATTAAAGCGGACGGGCTGCGAAGGGGAATCCAGATTGTCCTGTGACCCTCAGGCCGGTCACCTACCCGCTCTGAGCTCCTGCTTCTGAATCATGGCAGAAATTACCCGCGGTCCGGGCTGCCTGTGAGGACGAAATGAGGTAAAGATACAAAATAGTAGCACTTTGTATATGCCAGGCCCTGTACTAGATGCTTTATTTTTGAATTATATGAATGAGTGAACTAAAACACACATCAGTGCCTGCCAGGAGGTCGTGCAGCTGATTAGATTTCTGCCTTCTTTGGTTTAAGCATCTGCCATTATATTGAAAAAAAAAAAAAATCGTTCCCTCCGGAGCCAAAGTTTACTTAGGTAAAGGAGGGCTTTCCTAGCCTGCTGCCTGTCACACTTGGATTGCTCAGGTGCCTGCAGCACTGCTCACGGCTCCAGTACGTAGTCCACCTGGCAAACTCCTCCTCCTTTCCCAGGACACACTCAAGTATTGCCTCCTTTGCAAAGTCCCTTCTCTCTCCTTTTTTATTTAATTTTTTAAAATTTTTATTTACTTGAGAGGCAGAGAGAGAGAGAGAGAGAGCGCGCTCTGATCTGCTGGCTCACTCTCCAAAGGCCTGCAAAGTAGGGATTGGGGATGCCAGGAACTCAATCCAGGACTTCCATATGGGTGGCAGATAACCAACTACTTGAGCCATCACATCCCAGTGTTTGTATTAGCAGGAAGCTGGAATCAGAAGCCAGGAATTGAACCCAGGCACTTTCATGTGGCATTAGGTATCCTAATCAACAGCTTAACTAACAGGCCCAACATTCATCTCTCTCTCTCTCCCTCTCTCCTTTTTAAACTTCCTTCTTTACCTGATGAAGCCATCATCACCCTAATGAGTATTTATACCTGCCTACCCCTCTCAATTAAGAACTCCTTAATGGCAAAGACTTTTTTTTATATATTTCTACATCCTTAGATCATAGCATTGTAGTAAGTGATCAGTGAAGGCCTTAGTTCTACCTAGTTTAAACATAACACATCCTATGAGCCGGCGCCGTGGCTCAATAGGCTAATCCTCCACCTTGCGGCGCCGGCACACCGGGTTCTAGTCCCGGTCGGGGCGCCGGATTCTGTCCCGGTTGCCCCTCTTCCAGGCCAGCTCTCTGCTATGGCCAGGGAGTGCAGTGGAGGATGGCCCAGGTGCTTGGGCCCTGCACCCCATGGGAGACCAGGAAAAGCACCTGGCTCCTGGCTCCTGCCAGGATCAGCGCGGTGCGCCGGCTGCAGCGGCGGCCATTGGAGGGTGAACCAACGGCAAAGGAAGACCTTTCTCTCTCTGTCTCTCTCTCTCACTGTCCACTCTGCCTGTCAAAAAAAAAAAAAAAAAAATTTAACACATCCTATGTACACTTACTCATGCTGCTACCTTCAGTTGGAATAACCAACCAGTTACTTGAAATTCTTGTCTTCAGAGGCTGGACTTATATGTCACCTGCTTCAAAAAGCCCTCCCAAAACTCCCCACCCACCCCCTAGTTACCCTGATTGGACATTTATTATATTCTAACTTTTTTTGTTAGTTGAGAACTTGTCTGCACCTCACCAGGCTGTAAAATCCTTGAGGACAAGGCGCTAATTGACTTCTATGTCTCCATCATGGGTTAGCGTAGCACATGGTAGGCCTCAATAAATGCGTTTGCCCAGAACTGGGCTTCCTTTCTCAGGTATGGTGGCTTCCCAGGACAATGCACCACAACTCTATCATGCCCACAACCCTTGCTGTTCTCATAGCAGTTCCCATTTGCTGCACTAGGGATAACCCAACAAGACCCTGGATGCAATGAGCCCCACCTGAGCTTGTAGACTGTGCCACTCCCGGCAAACCAACTTCAAAATGCCCCCAGGAACTCCTAACAAGATCCCAAAGGGAAGGGGAAGTCATAACAAGTCTGGGGAGCAACCACTTATTCAGGAGTCTCCCTTGGCCTCTTTTTGCTATTATTCTTTTTTTAATTCAAGGGAGAAGGGGAGATGCTGTTTCACATTACATACTCCACTGTGGTATATTTATCAACTATAACCACACAGCTGGTGCTTCTACTGGAGTTTTCTACTTTACATGATCACATTTGAGTTGCACAGCAATTCTGTTAGGAAGTAATCATCACACTCACTTTACAAATGAGGTAACTCGGGTCACAAGGGTTAAGTGATTTACCCAAGGTATACAGTTAACAACCAGAGCAATATGGTATACTGAAATAAACAGGGCTCAGACATCAGGAATATCCAGCTTCCAATCCTGGCTCTACCATGTGTGACATTAGAGTTGCCATGAAGGTGAATAACGTAAGATATATGAAAGTGCCTAAAGTTACACAAATTAAGAAATCTGAAACACAAATTGCTTTTTGGAGTACAATTCCACTTACTATTCAAAGAGACACCTACAAACCATGTGAGACCCAAAATTATTCTTGGATGAAATGAATGAACTCCCTGGTGTATAGAGTTTCCTGGAAACACAGTGTGGGCTAGTAAAGACAATATTGGTGTCACTTAGTGATAACCTCAGGCAAACCATTGAACCTATCTGAGCCTCAGTTTCTCATGAATGAAAATGGGTAAACTGATATGGAAAATGGTGAGATATGTAAGAGATTATTGTTATAATTTTATGTGATTTCTATTAAATCAGTCTTAACATTTTATATTTATATAGAACTGCTTTTTCATAGTTTATAAGTGTTTTTTATTTATAGCATCTAATACCACTCTTGATGTCTATTAAGTATATTATAAAAGTCTGTTGAACTGATCACATAATTTCTTTTTTTTTTTTTTTTTATCTTTTATTTAATGAATATAAATTTCCAAAGTACGTCTCATGGGTTACAATGGCTTTCCCCCCCATACCGTCCCTCCCACCCACCACCCTCCCCTTTCCCACTCCCTCTCCCCTTCCATTCACATCAAGATTCATTTTCGATTATCTTAGTATACAGAAGATCAGCTTAGTATACCTTAAGTAAGGATTTCAACAGTTTGTTCCCACACAGAAACATAAAGTGAAAAATAATAGATGATTTTTTTTTAAATGATGATGAAATCAGATCAGACCTATTGTCATGTTTAATCCCAGTGAGAGTCAAGTTGGGAATTGATAGTTTCTTTTCTTTTTTTTTTTTTTTTAACAGAAGATCAGTTTAGTGTACATTAAGTAAAGATTTCAACAGTTTGCACCCCCATAGAAACACAAAGTGAAATATACTGTTTGAGTACTCGTTATAGCATTAAGCCTCAGTGTACAGCACATTAAGGACAGAGATCCTACATGAGGAGTAAGTGCACAGTGACTCCTGTTGTTGACTTTACAAATTGACACTCCTGTTTATGGCATCAGTAATCTCCCTATGCACCAGTCATGAGTTTCCAAGGCTATGGAAGCCCCTTGAGTTCTCCGACTCTTATCTTGTTTAGACAAGGTCCTAGTCAAAGTGGAGGTTCTCTCCTCCCTTCAGAGAAAGGCACCTCCCTCTTTGAAGACCTGTTCTTTCCACTGGGATCTCACTCACAGAGATCTTTTTGCCAGAGTGTCTTGGCTTTCCATGCCTGAAATACTCTCATGGGCTTTTCAGCCAGATCCGAGTGCCTTTAGGGCTGATTCTGAGGCCAGAGTGCTATTTAGGACATCTGCCATTCTATGAGTCTGCTGAGTATCTCACTTCCCATGTTGGATCACTCTCCCCTTTATTTATTCTATCGGTTAGTGTTAGCAGATACTAGACTTGTTTATGTGCTCCCTTTGACTCTTAGTCCTTTCATTATGATCAATTGTGAACTGAAATTGATCACTTGGAATAGTGAGATGGCATTGGCACATGCCACCTTGATGGGATTGAATTGGAATCCCCTAGTATGTTTCCAACTCTACCAATTGGGGCAAGTCAGCCCGAGCATGCCCCAAATTATACATCTCTTCCCTCTCTTATTCCCACTTTTATGTTTAACAGGGATCACATTTCAGTTAATTTTCAACACTTAAGAATAACTGTGTGATAATTACAGAATTAAACCAGTCATATTAAGTAGAACAGACAAAAAAAAAAAATACTATGAGGGATAATGTATTAAGTTGTCCATTAGCAGTCAGGGCTATGCTGATCAAGTCACCATTTCTCATAGTGTCCATTTCACTTCAGGAGGTTTCCTTTTTGGTGTTCAGTCAGTTGTCACCGATCAGGGAGAACATATGGTATTTGTCCCTTTGGGACTGGCTTACTTCACTCAGCATGATGTGTTCCAGATTCCTCCATTTTGTTGCAAATGACTGGATTTCGTTGTTTCTTACTGCGGTATAGTATTCTAAAGAATACATATCCCATAATTTCTTTATCCAGTCTACCATTGATGGGCATTTAGGTTGGTTCCAGGTCTTGGCTATTGTGAATTGTGCTGCAATAAACATTAGGGTGCAGACCGCTTTTTTCTTTATCAATTTAAACTCCTTTGGGTAAATTCCAAGGAGTGGGATGGCTGGGTCGAACGGTAGGGTTATATTCAGGTTTCTGAGGAATCTCCAGACTGATTTCCATAGTGGCTTAACCAGTTTGCATTCCCACCAACAGTGGGTTAGTGTCCCTTTTTCCCCACATCCTCGCCAGCATCTGTTGTTGGTAGATTTCTGTATGTGAGCCATTCTAACCGGGGTGAGGTGAAACCTCATTGTGCTTTTGATTTGCATTTCCCTGATTGCTAGTGACCTTGAACATTTTTTCATGTGCCTGTTGGCCATTTGGATTTCCTCTTTTGAAAAATGTCTATTGAAGTCCTTGGCCCATCTCTTAAGTGGGTTGTTGGTTTTGTTTTTGTGGAGTTTCTTGATCTCTTTGTAGATTCTGGTTATTAACCCTTTATCTGTTGCATAGTTTGCAAATATTTTTTCCCATTCTGTCGGTTGTCTCTTCACTCTCCTGACTGTTTCTTTTGCAGTAAAGAAACTTCTCAATTTGATGCAATCCCAATAGTTGATTTTGGCTTTGACTGTCTGTGACATAATTTCATGTGTAGTTCTTATTTAAATCTCTACTTTATCCTGATTTCACAAGTAAGGAAACCAAGGAACAAATACTATATATTAGAAGTAACTTGCTTAAAGTCAGGACCACTAAAAGCAGGTCTGAATCTTGGTTACAAAAAAATAAGGAGCAGGCATTTGGCCTAGTGGTTAAGATACTAGTTAAGATACCTATGTCTCCATCAGAAAGCCTAGATTAAATTCCCAGTTCTGGCTCCCTAGTGCAGCTTCCTGCCAGTGCAGACCCTGGGAGGCAGCAGGTGATGGCTCAGGTACTTGGATCCCTGCCACTCACATATGGGACCTGGATTGAGTTCCTGGCTTCCAGCCTCAGCTGCCCAGCCATTGTGGACATTTGGGAATGAACCAACCTATGTGTGTATGAGTGTGCATTTGCCTCTCACATTAATAATTTTAAATAAATAATCAGATTCCCTAGGAAGGGAAAGCCAACCTAAAATCATGTGGACATTGACCCAGGCCCCTTCCAGACCATCAGTAACTTGCTGTGGCTTCATTCTTCCTTTCATGGTTCTGGTTTAAATTTTAGTCACTTGACATGTAGTGGGGGATGGGAACAGGTCTGTAGGGATGGGAAAGATGAACCAAATTAAAAAAAAAAATCTTAGAAATTCTGAGACTGAGTTTTTTTTTTTTTTTAATGGCACACCAATGACAATTTGCAAATGTGTGTCCCAGATCTCATCAAAGCACTGGGTCACATCCCAAATCTATTTTAAGACAGTGAAATGTAGCTAATGGAAGATATGTTATGATCTAATTCAATGTAACAAGAACAAGCTGCATGGAGCTGATAAAAAGGACTCACCTGTTTTTTCTAGGACAGCTTAATGTCCCTGTGTGTATCAGAGATAATAATACCTACTTTATAGGGTGATATAAGGATTAGAGATCATGTGTAAATGTCCTATCCCAGAACCTGCCCTGCACCTAATGTTGAGCAAACAGTAGCTATAAGATACCATTCTTCAAGACCACCATTTAACTCCACCCCTCAGGCAACCCAGAAATTACTAAGTCAGTTTTGCAGATAACACTAGCCTGTATGTATCTGTCATTGGAAACAAGAAGTCCCCTAAGTAAATATTGTGTCTGATGTCTTAAATCTGGATGTTAATAACCAACCAATGCTGCTTTCATGTGCATTATTTCATTTAATCCTCACAAAAGCCCCTTTAGAGATAATTTTTTTAAGAATTATTTTATTTATTTGAAAGACAGAGTTACAGAGAGAGGTAGAGACAGAGAGAGATGTCTTCCATCCACTGGTTCACTCCCCAGAAGGCCGCAATGGCTGGAGCTGTGCTGATCTGAACACAGGAGCCAGGAGCTTCTTCCAGGTCTCCCACGTGGGTGCAGGGGCCCGAGGACTTGGGCTGTCTTCTACTGCTTTCCCAGGCCACAGCAGAGAGCTGGATCAGAAGAGGAGCAGCTGGGACCAGAACTGGTGCCCATATGGGATGCCAGCGCTGCAGACCAGAGCTTTAACCCGCTGTGCCACAGCACCGGCCCCTAGAGATCATTTTTAATCTTATTCTCCAGAAGACGAATTCATCCAAATTTGTAAGGTTAAGAGTGGGACTTATACAGTCTCCTAACTCAGATGTGGTTTTTACTAGGGCGTGTTACTGGTATCCTGTAGATGTTAATCACCCCCTTGAAATCTTGATAAACCGTTGCTCCTGAGGGTCTGGCTTTGTGGCACAAGAGGTTAAGCTGCTGCTTGCAACGCCAGCATCTCATATCAGAGTCCTTACTACTCTGCTTCTGATCCAGCTTCCTTCTAATGTGCCTGGGAACGCTCCTGCCAGCCATGTGGGAGACCAGAATGGCTCAGCCCTAACTGTTGGAGCCATTTGGAGTAAACCATCTGATGGAAGATCTCTCTGTCTGTCTGTCTCTCTCTCTCTCTCTCTCTTTCTCCCTTTCTCTTTCTCTTTCTCTTTCTCTGTGTGTGTGTGTGTGTGTCTGTCAGTCTCCCTCTCTGTCACATAAATCTTAATTTAAAAAAATGCTCTTGAACATGGGAAGTTGAAGATGAGGTTCTGGATTTATTATAACCCTAAAGCTGGATGAGCCTGAAGGGGAAACCTTAGATCACAACCGGCTCTGTCATCAACGAACTGACTGTACCCTCCCAGCCCGACCCAGCCCTAAAGGAAATCACAGCTTCTTTTATTACTTTGTTTTCCAACTTTTAGAGGCAACTGTCCTATCAGCTCTTCATGAACACTGCATGTCTGTGATGTTAGCATTTACAAAGTTGAAAAATGCAGGATCATTGATTGAAAGAATGGGGTGAAAGCAGTGAGGAACTCTCTGAATATACAAAGAGCCACTTTATTTGCATAAGACTTTGAGAAAGGCCTTCCACATAAATGGTGCTAAGCTATAGAAAAAAATGATACTACAATTGTAATGGTAATCTTGAGCTCATGCTTTCAGGCTGCTGGTTTCAAAAATATAGCCCATCATTGTTGGTGTTTGCCCAGGGCAGAAGGAATATGGGAGACTGCACAATAATAACAATTGTGCTTCACAAATAACTGTCCCTGTGCCAGGGACTGAGCTGTGAAAAAAACAAGCAGTAAGAGATTTCTAAATGCCAAACACACACTGAGTGTGATAGGATGGCTCAAAGTTGTCATCATCACAGATTTTCCCCGAGAACGGGATGTCCTGGGAAGAGCTGATTTAGAACTGGGAAGGCCCAGCCTGGTCCAGTCTTGGCACTGCAGCTTCTGAGTTTGGTGACTTTGGATAAGTCATATACCAAGCCAGTTTCCTCCCCTCTGTAAAGTGAAGCATATAACACCTACCTAATCCTGATAAGATGATGATTAAATGCGGTTACAGGTGAAAGCCTGCTATCAGGCACACTATAGATACTAGATTAGTGTTAATTCTTTTTTCTTCCTACTGGAGAATATTTAGGGTATAAATAGCCAGAACACAAAAATTGTCATTTTTAGAAGTTTCAATCATTTTCCAAAGTCTACTTCGTGGTGTTTTTTGAATAACTTTCTACATCCATTTGTAATATTTATTGAATACTCTAGAGTAAGGAGATTACTGCATTTATGTCTGCTAGTGAGAAAGCAATTTTATATTTGCCCTATTTCCTTCCTTTCCTCTCCCTCCCTCATGCAGGGTCCTGGAAGCTATAAAAACACCAAAAGAAACATCATGGGAAAGAAAATATTTGTACTCATGGCTGCAGGCCCTTTCATCTGTAGATTTCAAAGCATTTTCTCCATCAGTAATTACTAGCCCTGCTTAGCACGTGTGAATGTGAGACACCATCAAATTAAGAAGCTTGCCCTAAATCACAAGGCAAGTCAGAAGATAGGCTGCAAAGAGACAAAGCTGTCCTGTTTGCCAGGCCTGGGCTGTAAAGTAGGACACATGAGAGTCAACAGAAGGCTTCAAGTAATGGGGGGAAAGTTTGGGGAACTCTAATTCTGCAGCTTTGAATCAGTGCAGTGACACAGCATGGGCTCAGAGTCCAGTTTGACTTAAAATCTTAGCCCCTTACTGGCTGCATAATCTCAACCAAATCTTAAACTAAGTCTTGGCTTCCTTCTCTGTAAAATGGGAATATTAATTCTTACTTCTCAGGGTTTGAGGGAAAGAGAATGATGCAACTTTTGTGAAAGAGCCTGGACAGTGTCTGGCCCTTCTCAGGTGCTGATTATGTTGGTTCCTATAGTTAGAGAAAATGAAAACATCCCTCCACCACACATAATGAAAAATAGACAACTCTTTCAGTCAAAGATTTTCTATGCCATGATCACAGTGTGTCTCAGTTTAAAACCGTGGCTGTGTGTCCAACATCTCGCATTAAAATGCAAATAGAGGATGCCTTGTTCATGCCTTCATTGCGTTTGTTCCTTGATTCTGCGCTTTCTCTGTCAGCAAGTTCTGTTGAGTCAATCTCCCATATATATTCAAGATTCTAATTCTACCGTAAAAATATAAACATATCTGACCACTTCTCACTCTCCCCACTGTCACTTTCTTTTGAAACATTGTTAGAGTTCCTTAGCCCACTTCCATATTTGTGTCTGCATCCACTCTCCATGTCATAGATAAAGTGATCTTTTTAATACTAAATTGAGTTGCTGGCGTATAGTGCAGCAAGTTAAGCCACTGCCTGCAAAAACAGCTTTCTCATATCAGAGTGCTGGGTCAAGTCCTAGCTACTCCACTTCCAATCCAACTTCCTGCTATTAGTGTCTGAAAAGGTAGCAAAAAGATGAGCCTAAGTCCCTGGGACCTGGCCACCCATTTGAGAGACCAGGATGGAGTTCCTGACTCCTGGCTTCGGCATGGCTCAGACCTGACTGCAGCCATTTAGGGAGTGAACCAGTAAATAGAAGATCTCTTTCTCTCTCTTTCAAATAAATAAATATTTAAAAAAAAAAGAAAGAAAGAAAGAAAATGGATGTTATAATTTCCCTGTGGGAAATTCTTTGCTGGAGATGGAGGTGGTAGGGAAGTGGACAGGCAAGCATTGTGGTGGGCACCCTGGAGGCAGCAGATAATGGCTTAAATACTCAGGTCCCTGCTACCCACATGGGAGTCCCAGATGGACTTCTTGGCCCCTTCCTGGCCCCAGACAGTCAAACTGTGTAAACACAAGAGTAGCATCATATTTGCATTTAGCTGTATGAGAATCTATTTATATATCCTCAGTGATTACTGCTGTAAGAAAGTGTCTATATGCAAGGCAAATATCTCAACTGGTAGCCACTAAAAATACAAGGCTTTCACCTAATGCTGCTGGCAGAAGTTGACTGTGTTGAGCTTATGCAGACATAATATACCTGTATATTATACAGAATGAATATCTTTAAGGATTTTTTAAGGATAATTTTGACATTATACAATTTCTGGCTTTCTAACTGGAAAGCTTAACCTCAAATGAGATACAACTGTTCTACTTGTAAGATTATATAAATTATATGTGAATTGTAAGTTGGTGAAATGGAAGATATAAAGGGTTTAATGCATAACTTAGTGTCAAAAAGGCCTAGATTCAAATCCTGGCTCTGCTTCTGAGAACCTCTGCTTCCTTAACCTCTGTCAACCTAATCTGTGAAATGGAGAATGATATTTTCTACCTCACTGATCAGCTATAAAGCTGAAATGACAATGTTATATGAAAAGTTTGTCATACAACAAATGTTCTGCAAACTACATTTTTGGTATTTTCTCTTAAATTAGAAACCTAGGGGCTGGCATCGTGGCACAGTGGGTTAAGCCACTGCTTTTTGTGATGCTGGCATCCCATTTGAGTGCCAGTTTGAGTCCCAGCTGCTCTGCTTTTGATTCAGCTCTCTGCTAATGTGCCTGGGAAAGCAGCAGCAGATGGCCCAAGTATATGGGCCCCTGCCATCCACGTGGGAGACCCAGATGGAGTTCTGGGCTTCTGGCTTCGACCTGGTCCAGCCCTGGCTGTTGCAGCCATTTAGAGAGTGAACCAGTGGATAGAAGATTTTTTTCTCCCTCTGTCTCTCCTCTCTGTCACTCTACCTTTCAAATACATAAAATAAATCTTTAGAAAAATATTCAATAAAATACATAAAAAAATGCATTTTAGAAAACCGATTGCTTTTGAAAGATTATAAATCTAAAATTCTAAATAAAAAATTTCCTCTATAATTAAATGTCTACACAAAGACTACTCTGAACATTTGTTTCTATTTAACAAGCAAATATTCTGATCATAGGCTACAACAATTATTCTTATATATATATATGTATATATATGGCCAAAAGAATCAAAAAGAGAAGCAGGAATTGTGGTGAGTGGTTAAGACACTTCTGCAGGAGCTGGCGCTGTGGCATAGCGGGTAAAGCCACCACCTGCAGGGCTGGCATCCCATAAAGGCACTGGTTTGAGTCCTGGCTGCTCCATTTCCAATCCAGCTCTCTGCTAGGGCCTGGGAAAGCAGTAGAAAATGGCCCAAGTCCTTGGGCCCCTGCACCTGCATAGGACACCTGGAAGAAGCTCTTGGCTCCTGGCTTCTGAGAGGCGCAGCTCCAACCATTACAGACAATTGGAGAGTGAACAAGTGTATGGAAGACTTTCTCTCTCTCTCTCTCTCTCTCTCTTTGCCTCTCGTTCTTTCTCTATATAACTCTAACTTTCAAATAAATAAATAAATCTTTAAAAACAAAAACAGACATCTCTGCCTCATTTACGTACCAGCTGCTCAGCACTTCTGATCCAGCTTCCTGCTAATGTGCCTGGGAGGCACCACTTGATGGCCCAAGTATTTGAGTTCCTGCTACCTAAGTGGGAAACCCTGATGTAGTTTTGGTTCCTGATATTGGCCTGGCCTACCCCTGGCTGTTGCAACCATTTGGGGAATAAACCAGCAGAAGAAGATTTCTCCCTCTCTGTCATTCTGCCTCTCAAATAAGTAATTAAATCTTAAAAAAAAAAAAAAGCATATGCCTACATACAAATTTGTATACAAATATTCATAGTAGCCAGCGCCGTGGCTCAGTAGGCTAATCCTCCGCCTTGCGGCTCCAGCACACCGGGTTCTAGTCCCAGTCGGGGCGCCGGATTCTGTCCTGGTTGCCCCTCTTCCAGGCCAGCTCTCTGCTATGGCCCGGGAGTGCAGTGGAGGATGGCCCAGGTGCTTGGGCCCTGCACCCCATGGGAAACCAGGAGAAGTACCTGGCTCCTGCCTTCGGATCAGCGCGGTACACCAGCCGCAGCGCGCCGGCCGCGGCGGCCATTGGAGGGTGAACCAACAGCAAAGGAAGACCTTTCTCTCTGTCTCTCTCTCTCACTGTCCACTCTGCCTGTCAAAAAAAAAAATTCATAGTAGAATATTCATAATGGCCAATAGTGGAAGCAACCTAAATATCCATTAACTAATGAATGGATAAATATACTGTGATCTATCCATACAATGGAGTGTTACTCAACAATGAAAAAGGGGTGGATGCTGTGGCACAGTAGGTTAATCCTCCGCCTGCGGTGCCAACATCCCATATGGGTGCTGGTTCTAGTCCCGGCTGCTCCTCTTCCAGTCCAGCTCTCTGCCAAGGCCTGGGAAAGCAGTAGAAGATGGCCCAAGTACTTGGGCCCCTGCACCCAGATGGGAGACCAGGAGGAAGCACCTGTCTCCTGGCTTTGGATCAGCGCAGTTCTGGCCATTGTGGCCATCTGGAGAGTGAACCAGTGGATGGAAGACCTCTCTCTCTGTTTCTCCTCTCACTGTCTGTAACTCTACCTCTGAAATAAATAAAATCTTTAAAAAACAAACAAACAAAAAACAATGAAAAAGAATGAGATACTGATACATAAAACATATGGTTAAACCTTCAAAATGTTGTGCTAAATAAAGAAGCCAGACATTAAACGTCACATAGCTTATGAGTCCATTTACATGAAATGTCCAGAATAGGCAAATCCATGAAGACAGAAAGGAAATTAGAGAGTGCCAGCGCCAGGGAGAAAGGGAGTGGGGAGAGACTACTAATAGGCACTCAGTTTCTTTTAAGGGTGATAAAAATTTTCTGCAATAAGTTAATGGAGGGTTGTGCAACTCTGTGAATGTATTTTAAAACCACATAATTGTACACTTAATAAACAAGAAAAGTCACTGTAGCTTTGTGTAGAGGAAGGAGCTGAGAGGTCAGGCAACCTTTCAAGACATCCAGGTAAGAGCTGTTGGAGCCAAAACTACAGCAGAGGCAATGGTGATAGACTTAAGAGTACTGATTTATAGGGATAGAAGAAAGCAGTATAACACAGTGACTGGAGGTGCAGGCTTTAAAGTGAAACACATTTTTTTTTTAAGATTATTTATTTGAAAGAGTTACACAGAGATAAAGAGAGGCAGAGAGAGAGGGAAAGAGGGAGAGGGGGAGAAAAGGAGAGGTCTTCCATCCAATGGTTCACTCCCCAATTGGCCACAATGGCCAGAGCTGCATTGATCTGGAGCCAGGAGCTTCTTCCAGGTCTCTCAAGTTGGTGAGGGACCCAAGTGCTCGAGCCATCTTCTACTACTTTTCTAGGCCATAGCAGAGAGCTGGATTGGAAGTGGAGCAGCCAGGATTCGAACCAGCGCCCATATGGGATGCCGGCACTGCAGGCACAGCTTCACCCGCTATGCCACAGCGCCAGCCCCATGAAATACATCTTGATTGCAACCTGAGCTCTGCCACTTACAGCGTGATTAGAGGGAAGTCCATCTTAGCCTATGTGAACCTCAGTTGCCTTACCTGTAAAATGATGGTGATTAAAAAAATAGAATCTACCACATAGGATCATCATAAGGATTTGTTCATTAATTGAACTAATACTATTAAGTACCTTCAGTGTGCTAGACACTCTTCTAGCCACTGAGAACACAGTAAACAAACCAGACAAACCCTCTTTAATGTAGCTTATATCCCAATGAATGACAATTATGTTACTTATAAATTACATATTAAATTATATCATCATAAGTTGATAAGGAGAAAGGTAGATGGGAGAGTGTATGAGAAAGGAAAGTGATAAAGTAAATGCAAGTTTACTGCAATAATGCAGATATGATGGTGACTTGGAGGAAGAGTGTTAAGAAGTGGTCAGGTTCTGTAGCTATTGAAGATCAGGCCCACAAAATTGGCTCAAGGGTTACATATGAGATATGAGAGGAAAAGTAAAGGATGATGCTGGGCTTTTTTCCTGAGCAACTGGAGTAAAAGAGTTGCATTTTACTGAGTTGGGGAGGCTTGAAAAAATCAATTTGGAGAGAACATGAGAACATCAGGAATTTGTTCTTTGACTAAGTTTGAGGTATCTTTTAGACATCCAACTTGAAATATCAAGGATGCAGTTGAAATAAGAGTATGCAGAGAGGTTTGAGTTACAGATACAAATTTGGGTGTCCATGTAGGAGACCTGGAAGAAGCTCCTGACTCCTGGCTTCAGATCAGCCCAGCTCCAGCTGTTGCAGCCATTTGGGGAGTGAACCAGCAGATGGAAGATCTCTCTCTTTCTCTCTCTCTCTCTGTCTCTCTGCTTCTGCATCTTTGTAACTCTGCCTTTCAAATAAATAAATGTTTAAAAAAATTTGGGGGGCCAGCGCCATGGCTCACTTGGTTAATTCTCTGCCTGCGGCACCCGCATTCCATGTAGGCACCGGTTCTAGTCCTGGTTGCTCCTCTTCCAGTCCAGCTCTCTGCTGTGGCCCTGGAAGGCAGTAGAGGATGGCCCAGGTGCTTGGGACCCTGCACCCGCATGGGAGACCGGGGGGAGGCACTTGGCTCCTGCCTTCGGATCAGCGCAGCACCCAGCCATAGCAGCCATTTGGGAAGTGAATCAGCGAAAGGAAGACCTTTCTCTCTGTCTCTCTTTCTCACTGTCTATAACTCTACCTGTCAAATAAATAAATGAAAGTTTAAAAAAAATTTGGATGTCATGGGGCATTTATAGCCATGAGGGTGAGTGAGATCATCTGTATAGCTGAGTGTCTTTAGCTACAAGAAGTCCAACTACTGATCTCAGGGCCACTCCAATATCAGAAAAATGAAGGTCAGGGAAATTAGAAAGGATTAGCAAAGGAGACTGAGGTTAGAGGAAAATCGGGAGAGTATACTGTCTGTCCTTGAGCCACATGAAGAAAGTGTTTCAGGAAAGAACAAGGAAGGACTGAGCAAATGGGTCAAAAGGGATCATAGAGCTATTGGATTAAGAATCAACCTCCAGCCGGCGCCGTGGCTCAATAGGCTAATCCTCCACCTTGCGGCGCCGGCACACCGGGTTCTAGTCCCGGTCGGGGCGCCGGATTCTGTCCCGGTTGCCCCTCTTCCAGGCCAGCTCTCTGCTATGGCCAGGGAGTGCAGTGGAGGATGGCTCAGGTGCTTGGGCCCTGCACCCCATGGGAGACCAGGAAAAGCACCTGGCTCCTGGCTCCTGCCATCGGATCAGCGCGGTGCGCCGGCTGCAGCGGCGGCCATTGGAGGGTGAACCAACGGCAAAGGAAGACCTTTCTCTCTGTCTCTCTCTCTCTCACTGTCCACTCTGCCTGTCAAAAAAAAAAAAAAAAAAAAAAACCTCCAGACTTAGCAATGCAGAGGTCTTTGGTGACCTTGGTCACAACAGTTTCCATGGAGGGAGGGGACAAAGCCTATTTAATGTGGACTGAAAAGAGAATGAAAGGAGATGACTCAGAGTCAAGGCAGGCAGATAATTTTTTTAAATTTAATTTTATTTATTTGAAAGTGTAACGGATAGAGGCAGAGACAGAGAGAGGTCTTCCATCTGCTGATTCACTCCCCAAATGGCTGCAACAGCCAGAGCTGAGCTGATCCAAAGCCAGGAGCCAGGAGATTCTTCCAGGTCTCCCACATAGGTTCAGGGGTCCAAGGACTTGGACCATCCTCTGTTGCTTTCCCAGGTGCATTTGCAGGGAGCTGGATCAAAAGTGGAGCAGCCAGCACTCAAACTGGCACCCATATGGGATGCTTGTGCTGCAACCTGGAGCTTTAACCTGCTGCACCACAGCTCCAGCCATACAGATAATTCTTTAGAGACGGTTAGCTGAAATGGAGAGCAGAGAAACAGTGTAGTGGCTAGAGAGGGATGTGGAGCCAAGAGAGTTTCTTTTCATAAGGTGAGAGAGAACATAACTTTTTTATTATTTTATTTTTATTTTTATTTTTTTTAGAAAAAGTAAAACTGATGGGATGATCCTGTGGAAAGGAAACAATGATGTAGGCAGGAAAAGAAACTGTTGGAGCAAGAATTGGCTTTCAGAATATCCAAGAGAGTATCGCTGAGTACCTGGGCATGGATGCAGAGCGTGGATTAAGTGTTTAAAGTGGGGAGAAAGGAGAGGATATTAGAAGTATGAAGAGAGGAAAGCTTAAGAAATAGGCACTCAGGGAAAGTGGATAGACTTGAAAATGAAGCACAAGTCCCAGGAAGCACTGAAGGCACACTCAAAGTTAGTGGTAGGGAATTTTAAGAGTCCAGCCGACAAAGCTGTGGATTTTTCTTCATTCACTTTCCCAAAGATAGAGAGTAGGCAGAGAGATTGCCCAGGGTAAGGTTTTTTTTTTTTTTTTTTTTTTTTTGTTTGTTTGTTTGTTTTGACAGGCAGAGTGGATAGTGAGAGAGAGAGACAGAGAGAAAGGTCTTCCTTTGCCATTGGTTCACCCTCCAATGGCCGCCGCGGCCGGCGCGCTGCGGCCAGCGCACCGTGCTGATCCGATGGCAGGAGCCAGGAGCCAGGTGCTTTTCCTGGTCTCCCATGGGGTGCAGGGCCCAAGCACCTGGGCCATCCTCCACTGCACTCCCTGGCCACAGCAGAGAGCTGGCCTGGAAGAGGGGCAACCGGGACAGAATCTGGCGCCCCAACTGGGACTAGAACCCGGTGTGCCGGCACCGCTATGCGGAGGATTAGCCTAGTGAGCCATGGCGCCAGCCCTGGGGTAAGGGTTTTGTGAGGCAAAAATAGCAAAGCAAAAGGAGGGGAGACAGAAGAGGACAATCAACAGGATTATTATAATGTTGGACTTTGGAATTCAAGTGAGTAAAAATGGGAGTGAGGACATGGGATAGGTGAGGAGTGCCAAAGGTATTCAGATCACTAGACCATAGGGCCCTGGAGGATAAGATGGTTGGAGTTGGGGTGTTAGAAGGAGTGAGATGGAAAGACACAGAGAAGTAGAAATGTAAGAAAAATTATTGATAGGTTATTAAGATCTAAGATAATCATAATAATTATTGCAATTGGAAACCATCTCAGAAGTAATAGTAGTATTAGGACCCAGTCCATGCCCTCCAAGTACTTTCTGTGTAGTGCGAAAGGTAAGGCAGAATGATATGAGTGCTACAGAGAGGTGCAGGCGGTGGCTGTGGAGCTGAAAGGAAGTGGTGAGTCTACATGAAGGTCAGATCAAGGAAAGCCTCCAAAGAAGGTGGCAGTTGAGGTGAACCTCAAAAAGGAGCAGGTGCCTGAACAAATAGCCAGTTTTGCCCTTGCAGTGAGCACTCAGAAAACTGTTGGGAGCACAAGCTGGGGGCTATGGCAGGACATGAGACTAGGGAGCCAGATGAGGGATCTTTGAACACCAAGCTAATACTTGGGCATTTAAAAAAATTTAAAAAATAGTGAAGTTGGGGCCGGCGCCGCGGCTCACTAGGCTAATCCTCCGCCTAGCGGCGCCGGCACACCGGGTTCTAGTCCCGGTCGGGGCGCCGGATTCTGTCCCGGTTGCCCCTCTTCCAGGCCAGCCCTCTGCTGTGGCCAGGGAGTGCAGTGGAGGATGGCCCAGGTGCTTGGGCCCTGCACCCCATGGGAGACCAGGAAAAGCACCTGGCTCCTGGCTCCTGCCATCGGATCAGCGTGGTGCGCTGGCCGCAGCGCGCCGACTGCGGCGGCCATTGGAGGGTGAACCAACGGCAAAAGGAAGACCTTTCTCTCTGTCTCTCTCTCTCACTATCCACTCTGCCTGTCAAAAACAAAAAATAAATAAAAAAAAAAAATAGTGAAGTTGGGGGCCCTTCTTGCAAGCAATTGAGCCCAGTTATTAACATATTATGAAGCCATACTTGTTTATAAATTTTGATCAGTCCAAAGTTATCTTATTCTCCATCATGTGATAAGGTCATATGAAGGATACTTATGTTTCGTTAGAATTTTCTGATTGTACTTCTCAGATCACTTGCCTGCTATTGCAAGATAATGTTTCTTTCCAAGCCACATACTGCCACAAGGGCATTCAGTTTCCTCCCAATGGCTTTCAATTCCATCCCCCAGTGTGGGCAGGAGAGCCTAGAATGAGACTCTTTAGAAGTCTGAAGCTCCTGCCAGAAAGGGTGGGAAATATATTGGATATGACCAGCACTTTGCTGTCTGGGACATTAAGACCAGTTGAAGCGGGTCAGAGTTAAAGATGAATAGCCCTAGCCTCCCTGGGAGAAGAAGGTACAAGGGCACAGCCTTAAAACCAAGGAGTCACAATTTTTTTCCAGAACCCAGTACCACTATCAATGATAGAATCAGTCTCTTTGCAAACTGTATTTATGATGTCATCTGAAAATATCAGAATCTCTGTGTTCACTAACCAAACAAGGGTCGAAACCATGGCTTTCTCTACTGCGTCATTGTGGCTTCAATCAAGTCCCTCTCCTCCTCCGGACCCAGGGTCCTGCCTACAAAATGGAGGCTCTGTGCGCATCTCCGCTCAGCTCTGGCAGGCTCTGGCATTTCTGTTACCAGTAATTCTTCACTAACCTCATCACACGAGCCCGTAGCTTTCCAGGCCATGAGATCCCTTCACCCCATGCCCTCTCCTCCAACCCATTATGAATTATGTTGGGTTTTTCTTGTTTAAACAGAAAACATGATGTGCCAGCAGGAACTTTATTTCGCTTAACATGTTTGAGGAAAAAAAATCGCACACTGGGCTTTGTTGCTCCAGTAGCCGAAATAATGAAAGCATCAGAACATAGAGCATCATTTTGTACTGCCCTCAAGTGGCGGTGGCCTGCATGTCTTCCTGGTTGTGGTTTAGGGAATAAAACATGTTTTCAGAAAAACTCACAGTGTATGAGGGAGGAGCATCACAGAGGGCCTGAACAGGACAGGCTGTTCAAGGACATTTTATCTAACTCCCTCTTTCCTAAAAGGTGCTGAACCCCTCAGCAAACAGCTCTGCTCTATCTTCTCCTAATTTTTTTTAAAGATTTATTTATTTATTTGAAAGTCAGAGTTACACAGAGAGAGAGAGAGAGAGAGAGAGAGAGGTCTTCCATCCGATGGTTCACTCTCCAATTGGCCACAATGGCCGGAACTGCGCCAATCGGAAGCCAGGAGCCAGGAGCTTCTTCCAGGTCTCCCAAGTGGATGCAGGGGTCCAAGGACCTGGGCCATCTTCTACTGTTTTCCCAGACCATAGCAGAGAGCTGGATTGGAAGTGGAGCAGCCGGATCTTGAACTTGCACCCATATTGGATGTCAGTGCTTCAGGCCAGAGCATTAACCTGCTGCACCACAGCGCAGGCCTCTACCTTCTCCTATCTTTAAAGAGCTGCTCTGGCTCCATTCTGCTGCTTTTTCATCATCGCCGAAGTTTCAGGAGCTAACTATAGGCTGCTTCTATTTTTTCACTTCCAATCTATTTTTTTAAGGATTTTATTTATTTGAAAGGCAGAGTTACAGATAGAGAAAGGGAGAGGGAGAGGGAGAGGGAGAGGGAGAGGGAGAGGGAGAGGGAGAGGGAGAGGGAAAGGGAATGGGAAAGGGAGAGGCAGAGAGAGAGGTCTTCCATCTGCAGGTTCACTCCCCAAATGGCTGTAATGGCTGGAGCTGAGCTGATCCCAAGCAGGGAGCCAGGAGCTTCTTCCAGGTCTCCCACACGGGTACAAGGGCCCCAACACTTGTGCCACTGCTTCCACTGCTTTCCCAGGCCATAGCAGAGAGCTGGATCAGAAGAGTAGCTGGGGCAAGAACCAGTGCTCATACGGGATGCTGGCGCTCACATTGGAGGCTTAGGCTACTACACCACAGCACCTGCTCCTCCATTCTATTTTTAACTTTGAAGTAATTTCAAATTTGCAGAACAGTTGCAAGAACATTATAGAAAACTGTTTTGTTTCACTTTATTTTATTACAAAAAAATTCCCAGGGGGCTAGTGTTAGCAGGTTAAGCTTGCAACACCAGCATCCCATATCAACAGAGTATTAGTTTGAGTCCTGGCTGCTCCACGTCCAATCCAGCTTCCTGCTAATGCATCTGGGAAGGCAGAAAAAGATGGCCCCAGTGTGTGAGCCCCTACTGCCCGTGTGGAAACCAGGATGGAGTTCCGGCTCTTGGATTCAGCCTCGTTCAGCCCTGGATTTTAAGGCCATTTAGGGAATGAACCAGCAGGCTGAAGATATCTCTCTCTCTTTCTCTCTCTCTCTCTCCTTTTTTTCTGATGCTCTACCTTTCACATAAATACATAAATCCAGAAAATAAAAAGAGTTCCCAAATGCACTACAAGTTAATATTTTGCCACATTCTGTGAGTCTGAGTGTATGAATACATGCATGTATATGGATAGTACATTTTTTAGAACCATTTGAATTACAGTATTTTCTCCTAATTCCCTAAATATTCAAATGTATAAGTTTTAAGAACAAGGATATTCTTTTTTTAAGATATTTATTCACTTCTTTATTTGAAAGCC